TATTATCGGTTAGTTTTATTGAAAGTTCATTGTTGTGCTTTGTGAGGTACTTCTACAGGAGACTCACTTTGTCAAACATGAAGACTTTATTAATCTTGCCACCGAGGGGTAATATTGTTCCAGTGATCATACTGTTGGCATCTTGGACAGCCTTACACAGATGGTGTGTGTTGGCATTTTCTTCAAACTGCATATTCACAAAAACAATGGTAACAGGACGTAGCTCTGACAAATAATCTAGTGGCTGGTTATCATCAATCTGAAAAATAGGAAAGGAGCATTAACTTTTCACAGGAACTTGAGGAGAAAAAAACTATATTCAAGCATATTACCCTGAGCTGAAAATTAGTTATTTTCATAATCAAGAAATTCTTTTAAGAATTGGATTTCCTCAAAGTGGACATTTTATCAGAGATTATCATAATTTTTCTTACAACTGTTTTCTATACTACTTAATGAAAAAAATAAAGAAAAGTTTTAATTTTATAGAGCAAGGATATACTCTTATCATAAAGTGGAAAAAAGAAATCCTATAAGGTACAACTTTCTGATTTATCTCTGCTTCCATGTGATTCTTTGCTTTAGGTTTTAGATTAGGATACCATTAGTCTTTAACGGTACCAAAAACTTTAACTGTACCAAAACTCCTTGTGATTTTGGAGCAACAGCTATTCCTCTGGAGATTATTATTGAACATCCCATTGATTAATGAGAGCAGCCATTTTGTTCCATGAATACATTTTTATGTATTTAACCAACAATCAGGAGTCTACTTCAGTTTGGTACTCTGTTTGTAAAAATGTGGCATAAATATAAGTATATATATATATGCACTCAATATTTGTATTGATCTCTGCTCAATTTAAATTTGATAAATATTCTTCTATTGGCATTTTACAATGTTAATGTACCTGAATGTAGAAAATTGGGTATCATCATCTAATGCTCTAGGTGGCTTGGATAATGACTGGCTTAGTTTAAAGAATGTGTGTTCTAAATTAAATTCGCAGGCAAACAAGTTATTAAGGTCACAAACATAAATTAAAACAAAATATAAGGCAATTAGCTACACTGTGAAGGGGAATATTCGAACTGTGGAGTCCTTGGGGTTCTCTGAGCTTGGTTATTTTCTTGCAAACGTTTCATTACCCGGCTACGTAACATCTTCAGTGCTAGAATGGAATGGGGTTTTGCTCTCTGTTTATAAATTGTGGCATGCCCTGCCAGTGTTGGCGGGGGTGTGAGTTTTGTTTTGTTGTATTTTTTTCCTCTGGTAGTTCCTTGATTAAGGTATTGTTTACTG